CTTAATGAAACATGAAGAGGGGGTCAAAATAAGGTCATTTGTAGTTCGGATCACAGCCCAAAAACAGAAGCAAAAGAGGCTAACAAATCATGCAAAAATGGAGCCAAAAGAGAGATATAAAGGCAAGTAGAAAATGGAAGCCACAAACAGTGATGAGCCCTTCAACAATGTTGAACAAGGGCTCAAAATAAGCAACTTAACAGTTTATGACATGCCTCAAAACAGTCTACACGTAGGCCAAAAATACTACACAAGGAATAGGCATACAAGAGGGATAATGAAGCAAGTGTGACAAGGAGGCCTCAAACAGTGAGAGGCCCTTAAACAAACATGAAAAATGGATCAAAATAAGCCTAGTTCCAGTTAGGGTCGGAGCCCAAAACAGCAAGAAAATATGACTTAGAAAGGATACAAAAACAAGCTAAAAAGAGAGAAAATGGTGCTTACCCTTGAAGACCAAACTTTAGGCAACTCTTGGCTTGAGTTTGGTGACTCTTAGGCTCTGAAGAACAACCTCCAGCTGCTGGAATGGAGGATTGAAGGGTGGGGTTATGGGTTGGTGAAGAAAAGGGTGTAGGACTTGAGAGGTTGGAGGGTTGAAGTGTATAGAGGGAGCGAGATACAACAAGAGGCTTAGGGGGGGAATTTTGTAACCCTCAAATCTGAGCTGGGGCCCCTGTTATATAGACAGAAAGGGGGGAAAAAAGGGGGGAAAAATGGAGGGAAAACCATCAAGTTTCCCCCCAAAAAGCAACCCCCCCCGGATACAGAATCTGGGGGAAAACAGATGCATGTCTGCACTGTAGCTGATGCAAGGAGCATGGCCGGCTGCTTATCTAGGTTGCAGGTGGCCAGCCGGCTACTTCCCACGGCCGGCCGGCCAAGGGTCAAAAGGTTCAAGTGAATTAGTGGCCGGCCACCACAGAAAGAGGGCCTCCCATGTGTGCACAACACAACCCTGTGATTGAACACTGGAAAAAGTGAACCAGGAGAGAGAACAACCCACTTTTCAAAGGGGTTCAAAAGGGTCAACAGCAATTACTGGCCGGCCACCAAATATTGGTGGCCTCCCAGATGTGTACATCACAAATATGTGGTTAAAGGTTCAAGAAAATGGCCCAAGGGTGGTCAACATTGGCTTTGAAGTGAGGAAAATCGGGCGACGGAGGGCGATGAAGGGATAAAGTTGGCTGATAGAACAATTAGTGGCCTCCCACCCTTCTACGGCCTTCTTACCAATGAAACAGAGGTCCCTGCCAAAAATGAACCAAAACCAATGCAAAACGAAGGTTCGGGGGCCGAAACGTGCAGTTCGAGGCCCCGAAAACTGGCTGTTAGGCACCAGGAGTAATGTTCAACCACGAAGTCGGTTTGTCGGGCCACAGTGTCCCTTAAAAGGGAGCAAATAAGAAGTATGCGAAAACCCGGAGCAAATGGAGGTGGTTAAGCGGTCCCGAACCGAGGCACACGGCCAACGGCTCTAAAAAACCGGAAACCGGACTCCAAACGGGCAAAATGGCCTACGACCACGAAACGTAGCCTACGGCCACTGAGAGATGATCTATGAGACCTCTCCCTCCCTTCGCGAAGAGAAAATAGAGAAAACCGAGCCTGGTTCGCAAACCGAGGCAAAGCACAAAAGAGTCTGGAAGTCCGGAGGCAAGGCTCGCAGCCGAGACTCTGAAACCTCTGAACGAGCACGATATGCAACATCACCAAGCGCTCAATCGATGACGTCTGAGTCTTAAGGTCGGTCAAAAATGGGGTGTCTACACCCCAGAGAATCTCGGCGGTTTCATTTTCTTAAACTCTCGGATTAGAGCGATGCTGCTGTCCCCATATAAAGCTTGTTGTGGGGGCACTTGCGGTGCTGGAGGAGGTGGATGTGGAACTACATGTCGACCGTTTGTCTGCTCGGCCTGGGTAGAGGTAGTACTAGCGTCTTGTGGCCTAGGTTGTCTCAACTCACGGACCAAACCTTCGACCAATCTCTCTAATCTGTCCAATCTGTCTTCGGGATGATCTCGGCCAACTGGTGGTCTACCCTCCTCATAATGCTAGGAGTATGCAAAATGTGACTTTAAAACAAAACGATCAAATAATATGCATGTGAATAACAAATAGTCACGCCGAGATGATGCACACATTGTCAAGTAGCAAGCATTATGATGCAATCCTAACATCAATTCTAAGGGAAATCCTAACATGGACCTGGGTACCCATACTCGAAGATCTTATGAAAACAAACACAAAAACATGAATCTTGATGCAAGCTTTCGGATCAAACAAGGCTTTTATTCAAGAACACATGAATGACACTTTCTCTTTCTAAAACCAAACTTTAAATCGATGCATAGCTTACAAATCGTGCTCGATCATGCAATGCAGCTAGATGAACAATAAGAACAACAAGAGTAGATTAAGATTCTAACCTCGAAACACGAATCAAACGGTTTGAACTCTACGGAGCAAGCTTGGAAATCTATTTCCTCTCTAAGAACTCTTTCTCCCTCTTCTAGAGCTTCTCTCTCCTCAAGAACAAAGACATACAACAAATGATACATTTCTCTCTCTGCCGGCTGATTTAACACTCAGCTTGGACACGTGGCAACGGCTGGTTGGCTCTACTCAAAAAGGTGACTGAGTGAAAAGAAAAGACCATGACAAAGTGTGTTCAACAAGCAAGATGGCATAGGCACTCCGACAGGTAATGATCTCGGCTAAAAACAAGGCATCGATAGGTAAGGAATAATGATCTCGGCTAGGAAGAACAACACTTGGCCCAGCTGTGCCACACCTCGGCCAAGATGTGCCACACCTCGGTCTAGGTCACACCAATCCAGGAACAAGATCACTTAGGCGCAAGGTAACATCTCGGCCTAGATAATACACATCTCGGCCTTGGTGATGAACACCTCGGCCTAGATGATGACATCTCGGCCAACATGCCTTGGTGAAGGTGGAGGTCAACCAAAGTGGTTCCAAGATGGTTCTAAGCTTAAGGTGACCTCGGCTTGGATTAACCTAGGCTAAACACGCACACCAAACTAGGAACAAAGCATGCAAGTAATACTTATGCAAGACAAATCAAGGTTTTGCAAGTGCGACAAATCAAGACAAGATCATGGAATATATGCAAGCATGACTAAAGTAAAGTGAGGGTTGTTACATGCAACCAAATCATTGGTAATATAATCAAATTAAATTAAATCTCATGTCTTAATTAAGTGAGATCGATGACATGAATAGAAAAAAATATATACAAAGTTACAGAAAAAATTTGAAGTTTGACAATCAAACAAAATAATATTTTAATTTTTAATTTTATCAATTCAAATCCTAATTTTATGATTTGTTTTTAATCTAAAATATTTGCATATTTATGTTGAGTAAAATAAAAAAAATAGTATTTTAACTATTAAACTCAATATAAGTTGTACATATATAATATGTTTTACTATTTTTTTTAGTTTCAATTAGCCAAGTTTTAAGTATTTGGAATTAATCAAAAACTTTTATTATTCATAAAATGATTATTATACAAGCATTAAACCAAGATTAGGGCTATAAACAAATAAGACTTCTTGAGTTCAACTGATTAAAATCTCGTTTGAAATTGTCTCATTATGTAAACAAGCCAAGTTCAAACATATTTTAGAACTCATTAAGATTTTAAATCAAACTTAAACAACCTACTACTCGATTCAATTTGATTATATGAATTATAAAAAAAGTAGTGCTACATCCTCTAATTTTGTCTCTCCAATTTCACCTCTAATGATGTGGCCCACTCGCATGTGAAGTGGTCCCAGGCTGCTTTCCCTCTCATCTTTAGCTTCTCTAATTCTTCATCATTGGAGGTGAACTTGGGAGAGCAAAATTAGGAGATGAATCATTATTCTTATACAAACCAAATTACCCATGATTAGCTTGATTACAACTCATTTAAGATTAATTCAAATGCTATATAAGTCAAACTTGAATATATTTTAAAATTCATCAAAATTTTAAATCAAACCTAAATAACCTATTAATTGGCTTGACTCATTTTATTTAACCAAATCAGTTTTTCTTCTTATTTAGGCAGGTCTGAGGATTTGAAAGTCACATGTTTCTTAAAAAATCTCAACAATCCATCTTCCTTCATTTTCTAATACTAGGGTAACTTTTTCAACAATAAGAATTTATTTTAAAATTCATCAAAATTTTAAATCAAACCTAAATAACCTATTAATTGGCTTGACTCATTTTATTTAACCAAATCAGTTTTTCTTCTTATTTAGGCAGGTCTGAGGATTTGAAAGTCACATGTTTCTTTAAAAATCTCAACAATCCATCTTCCTTCATTTTCTAATACTAGGGAAACTTTTTCAACAATAAGAATTTTATTTTATTTTACTTTTTATTTATTTATTTATTTGTATATGTATCAATTATTGTTGTAAACTTATTCATTATGTTCAAAAATTGCTTTCAAGGCTCTTAAAACAACACTCTAAGAAAGCTTCTAGTGATTTGAACTGTTACATATTTGTTGTTAGTTTATGTAAAAATCAACCATCTTAGACCCAAATAATATTTTAGTAATGATACTCATTTTTGGGGCTCTCTTTCCACCAACGTGATTATGGATTAAATGTTAACAATAACTTGTTTACTCATCTAAGTTATTGTTGACATTTAACCCATTAACACGTTAGTGGAAGAAGAGTCCCAATTTTTATTTATTTTTAATCAGCAAAGAAGAAAATTTTATTAGAGAAAAGGAGATCAATACAAAGAAGGAAAAGGCCGCAGGACAAACTGCATCATTACCAAGAATGAAGAATCCCAACTAGGTTGGCACCCTTCATCAGGCCAATCATGTGCACCCAGCAGCGAAGGAACAACGCCAAAAAAACAGAGGAAAAAAACAAGTTGGATTGGATAGATTCCAATACAACACATCCAAGCATCCTTCATCAGGCCAACCTGCATTAGTGACCCAAGCACCTTCTAACCTGTTGTAAATTCTCAGTGAACTCAGTGACTGTGTAAGAGCTGCCAATTGAGTGAGATTTCATCCAAAGAGCAACCTTCACTTTTATCAGGTCGCATAGAGCATCTGCATCAGGTTGAGCACCATTAAAAACTCAGTCATTCCTGTGTTTCCAAACTGACCATAGGACTGCTATAGGTAGTGCTTTCCACAACTGTTTCTCCTCCTTTTTATACCTCCAGCCCATCCACCACATGAACAAACTGTCAATGGTACCAGGCAATGCCCGTTGAAGCCCCCATCACTCCAATAATTTAGACCATACACACCAAACAAAAGGGCATGATAGTAGAACATGCTGAAGTGATTACTTATCATTTTTGCAGAACACACAAGTAGGATCCACATTTCCATTCAGTGTACCTATTCTCTGCAGATACTCAGATGTTTTTATCTTACCTTTGCATGCAAGCCAAGCAAAGGATTAAGCTTTAGGTGGGGATAAGTTATTTCAAATCATGTCATGTGCTGCTGAGACAGGGGAGTTGGTAAATTGGAGCCAATTATACAGATAGCTTACTTTGAAATGGCCAAACTGATCAGGTTTCCAGACAAGATTGTCCCTATAACCCACTCTCAGGTTTGGCCCATTGCCCAGACTCAATTGCAACGTATTCAGCTCTTCCTCCTCCCAAGCATGAAGGGACCTTCTGAATCTGAAACTCCAGTTATTTTGCTCCCCTGACCTATTAGCTTGTGCATCTAGGGAAATATCCTTGTCCATAGAGAGTTGAAACAGTCTAGGGAATTGATCTTTTAGACATGGACTTCCTATCCACAAATCCCACCAGAATTTGATTCTACTCCCATCTCCCACCTTGATCTCCACATTCTCCTTGAAGAAACTAAACTAGCTGCTATTCAGTGGATCAAAAGATCCAAAACCTTAATTGGACCAAGACCAATGCCTACATTATCCTGATATCACTTCATCATTAACATATGGTATCACCATGTAATTATAAATTAACATGTAGGCATAGTGTACTTCACTAGACCGATGTGTTAGTTTGTGATATGGAATACCATTATCTTAAGTCTATATTTGAATCATTGATTTGAACAACGATTTGAAAAAAGAAAAAAATCAAAAAAAAAAAATATGAATGAAATATAAATTAAATTTTTTCTCTATTTTCATCATTTTTTTTTCTTCTTAATATAAGCTAAATATCAGTCATTTTGAATCATAACCAACATTAATTTGAGATCATATAAAATCACAAATAAGGTGGGCTATCACATTATAAACTTCATTTTAATATGATCCGTCCTTAAACCTCATTATGAGACCAAAATGAAAATTTCACTCAAACTAATTAGAACAATCTACTAAATTATCCTAAAATCTTCTTTAGAAAAACCAGTACTACTCGAACAGACCAGTATTCTAAAAAAACATATAAAGAAGTTACTTTTTTTTGGATAAATTACACTGTTAATATTTATAATTCAAGTATAATATCATTTTAATCCTTGCAGTTTCAATTTAAATAATTTAAACCATATGATTTCAATTTTATTATAATTCATACCCTCTGTTATGTGCCATTAACATTTTAAGTTGAAAAGATTTTGTGCAAAATTAAAGGGATTGGCTTTTTTTGAATTCCATGTTGGAACAATCTCTTGTGTAAAATAAATAATTAAATAAATAAAATAAATTACTTACCGAATTTATTTTATCGAACCTAATAAAAATTTAAAAGATCAAGTCGAATGTATGACACTCTGTCCTTCAGACAGATTCACCACGCTATGGTGCTTACGGAAAAATGGCGTCTATCTCCCAGGATACAATGATTTGCACAAATTATAGTAGCACTCCAAACAATTTGTACGGCGAACAAAACCTGTGTTTTATACTCTCTAAATTTTTTTCTAAAAAACTAGTATGTAGAAAAATGTAAAGAAAGCAAAAAATGGAAGGGAATAGATTTTTTCTGGAGTTTTTTAGGATGTTTTTGGATGTGCCAAATTGCTGGAATTAGGTCTCTATTTATAGGCAATTTGACAAACCTGAACAGGTCTGATTTTAAATGAACAGATGCAAAATAGATTTGAATAGATCTGTTTGAAAACTGGACAGATCTTCAGCTATTCTGAACCTGTAACTGCTGGGCAGTTTCTGGCAGTTTATCTGTTGGAATTTCGAACTGGAAGAGGCACAATTATGGACTGAAAATTTGAATTCAAATTTGGTGCAAATTTTGAATTAATTTCCCGTAAGAATTTTTGAAAAAAATTCAAATGAACTTTGTCCAAAAAATTAACATTAGAACTGACCCAACCCACAACCCATACCTGCGCACGACATGGCCTGGCCGGTCAGATGGACTGCGGCGGCGCGCACGCGCGTGTGTGATGGTTTGAGCCAAGGTTCACTTTGTCCATAACTCCTCCATTCTACAAACTTGGGGTGCCCCTTGGGGCCCAACCCAAGTGTTGCTACCTAGAACTTACATACACACATAAGTTCTCTTCAAGTTTCAATGTGGGACAAGCCTTACAAGGAAACCCACATTTTATTCTTTAGTTGTCCATTCCATGAACCCAAAAACAACGTCAACTTCCCATTCACTCATAAATGGTTTTGATGAACCGTCTTCATTGTGTGACTTACCATGCTGCAAGGAACAAGTCATCTCTTGGGACCCACTCTAAAAGATGTGTGGGACCCACTCAATTTTGGGTAAACGTTTGGGCTCAAAGTTTGCCCAAAATAAGCCTATAAAAACCATTATTTCCAATAATCCACTATATGAATGGAATTTGACGGAAAGAAAATGCAACAACATGATCTAATACAGAGAGTACAAAAATTGGCAATATTCTGCAAAGGATAGGTATCTTTTAACTTTGAACCTTCCCTTGTGAGACACAATCAGACTTACTAGCTAACCAATGAATATGATGTCTTAAACTATTTAGCCATTTGTGTAAACCAAGACAATAGAACTCACACAGTATATCACCAGACGCAGTTCAGTTCTCACTATTGTGTTCATTTTGGCCCTGAACAACTTGGTCTTTCATGAGTGCTCTAGAGAATTGTAGCCCTTCACAAAACTCATAGAACTAGCCTAGTTCACGCTCACATAGGTAATTTTTATAAAGAGTATCCTACCATACTTCACTAGATATTCCTAGATATAAGAATCATTAAAAGATTTGCTTAACCTAAAACACTGCAGACATCACTATTTTATCATAGAAATGGGTAGGAATTTGACTCCCCAGTGATCCTTATAAGTCATACGCAACTCGGTTGTCCCTTTGAACCTAGATCTTGGGATCTCCAATCAATTGGGTTGGGTTTCCATTGTGGTAACTCTTATTCAATAGGCTTAAGTCCCATTCCCCTTGATGAATTCTCAACTAACTCTCTTGCTAACCCTTTTGTTAGTGGATCCGCTATGTTGTCTTTAGACTTCACATATTCAATGGAAATAATTTCATTGGAGAGTAGTTGTCTCATAGTGTTATGTCAACAACGAATGTGTCGTGACTTACCATTATACATATGACTCTGTGCTCTACCAATTGTTGATTGACTATGACAATGTATGCATATGGCAGGCACCGATTTTGGCCACATTGGAATATCTTCAAGAAAGTGATGAAGCCATGCTACTTCTTCCCTAGCTTTATCTAAAGCTATGAATTCTGATTCCATAGTAGACCTAGCAATGCAAGTCAGTTTGGAAGATTTCTAAGATACAGCCGCCCCACCAAGAATAAAGACATACCCACTAGTGGATTTTGAGTCTCCAGTATCCGATATCCAGTTTGCATCACAGTATCCTTCAAGTACTGGTGGATACCTAGTATAATTAAGCCCAATATTACAAGCAAATCAGAGATATCTTAGAACTCTTATAATTACTTTTCAGTGTTCTACTCTTGGATTACGCGTATATCTACTTAATTTACTTACTACATAAGCTATATCTGGATGAGTGTAGTTCATCAAGTACATTAAGCTTCCAATAATTTGGGCATACTCTAATTGAAAAATACTTTCCCGTACATTCTTAGAAAGAAACAAATTAACATCCACAGGTGTTCTAGCAAAATGATCATCATCTTTGTTGAATTTGTCAAGTATTTTCTCAATGTAATGAGATTGTGACAAAGCATAACCTTCTAATGTTTTAGTAATTTTCATTCCAAGAATTACATCAGCAATCCCCATGTCAAAATGTTTATTCAATATTTTCTTGGTAGTTTTAATCATGCCATTATTACTACCTATTATGAGCATATCATCTACATAAAGACATACAATGACATAACCTTTGTCTATGTTTTTAATATAAACACATTTGTCATACTCATTAATTTTAAATCCATTTGACGTCATTGCCTTGTCAAATTTCTCATGCCATTTTTTTGGCTCTTGTTTTAAACCATATAATGATTTAACCAATTTACACACTTTCTTTTCTTTTCCTGGAATAGAAAACCCTTTTGGTTGTTCCATGTAAATTTCTTCATCTAACTCACCATTTAAGAAAGCGGTTTTCATATCCATTTGATGAATTTGTAGATTATATAAAGATGCAATGGTAATGAGCATTCTAATGGATGTTATTCTAATAACTGGTGAGTATATGTCAAAGTAGTTAAGACCTTTGTTTTGTCTATATCCTTTGACCACAAGTCTTGCCTTGTATTTGTCAATTGATCCATCCACTTTCATTTTCCTTTTGAAAATCCACTTATATCCAAGAGGTTTACACCCTGATAATAAATCCACCAATTTCCAAATGTGATTTTGTAGGATGGATTCAACTTCGCTGTTTACAGCCTCTTTCCATAAAGGAGCTTCAAGACTGGACATAGCCTCTTTAAAAGTTAAAGGCTCATTTTCTAACAAAAATGTTAGAAAATCTAGACCAAAAGATTTTGAGGTTCTAGCACGTTTACTACACCTAGGTTCCTCTTCCTCATTTTGATCTAATTGTTCTTGATCTTGTTCATGATCATAACTAGTAATAGCATCAAAAGATCTTTTATTAGAACTAGTCCCTTGTCCAGTCTTATTTGGAAATATATTTCCAAAGAATGTTGCATTCTGAGATTTAATAATAGTATTTACATGCGTTTCGAAATGTTCTGATTTATGAATCAAAAATCGATATGCACTACTATTCTTGGCATAACCAATGAAAATACAATCAACGATTTTAGGACCTATCTTAATCTTTTTAGGACTAGGAATAGTTACTTTAGCCAAACACCCCCACACTTTTAAGTATTTGTAGGATGGTACTCTCCCATGCCACATCTCATAAGATGTTTGATTCACTTTCTTT